GGATTTCTGAGAAAATAAGTGATATTTTAGGTTAAAAACAGGGATTTCTGTGAAAATAAGCGATATTTTAGGGGAAAAAACAGGGATTTCTGTGAAAATAAGCGATATTTTAGGGGAAAAACTGGGATTTCTAAGAAAATGAGCGATATTTTAGAGGAAAAACAGGGATTTCTATGAAAATAAGCGATATTTTAGAGGAAAAACAGGGATTTCTGAGAAAATAAGCGATATTTATGGTTAAAAAACAGGGATTTCTGAAAAAATAAGCGATATTTTAGGGGAAAAACTGGGATTTCTATGAAAATAAACTATATTTTAGAGGAAAAACAGGGATTTCTGTGAATATAAGGGATATTTCAGTCGAATAATAGGGATTTCTGTGAAAATAAGTGATATTTTAGGTTAAAAACAGGGATTTCTGTGAAAATAAGCGATATTTTAGGGGAAAAACAGGGATTTCTGCGAAAATGAGCGATATTTAAGTTAAAAAACAGGGAATTCTGTGAAAATAAGCGATATTTTAGGGGAAAAACAGGATTTCTGTGAAAATAAGCGATATTTTAGGTTAAAAACAGGGATTTCTGTGAAAATAAGCGACATTTTAGGGGAAAACAGGGATTTCTATGAAAATAAGCGATATTTTAGGGGAAAAACAGGGATTTCTGAGAAAATAAGTGATATTTCAGGGGAAAAACAGGGATTTCTGTGAAAATAAGCGATATTTTAGGGGAAAAACAGGGATTTCTGTGAAAATAAGCGATATTTAAGGTTAAAAACAGGGATTTCTGTGAAAATAAGCGACATTTTAGGGGAAAAACAGGAATTTCTGTGAAAATAAGCGATATTTAAGTTATAAAACAGGGATTTCTGAGAAAATAAGCGATATTTTAGGTTAAAAACAGGGATTTCTATGAAAATAAGGGATATTTTAGGGGAAAAACAGGGATTCCTTTGAAAAGTGATATTTTAGGGGAAAAACAGGGATTTCTGTGAAAATAAGCGATATTTTAGGGGAAAAACAGGGATTTCTGTGAAAATAAGCGATATTTTTTGGGAAAAACAGGGATTTCTATGAAAGTAAGCGATATTTAAGTTAAAAACAGGGATTTCTGTGAAAATAAGTGATATTTTAAGGAAAAACAGGGATTTCTGTGAAAATAAGCGATATTTTAGGGGAAAACAGGATTTCTGTGAAAATAAGCGATATTTTAGGGGAAAAACAGGGATTTCTATGAAAGTAAGCGATATTTAAGTTTAAAACAGGGATTTCTGTGAAAATAAGCGATATTTAGGGGAAAAACAGAGATTTCTATGAAAATAAGCGATATTTAATGTTAAAAACAGGGATTTCTATGAAAATAAGCGATATTTAAGGTTAAAAACAGGGATTTCTATGAAAATAAGCGATATTTAAGGGGAAAAAACAGGGATTTCTGTGAAAATAAGTGATATTTTAGGGGAAAAACAGGATTTCTTTGAAAATAAGTGATACTTAAGGTTAAAAACAGGGATTTCTATGAAGATAAGCTATATTTTAGAGGAAAAAACAGGGATTTCTGTGAAAATAAGCGATATTTATTCAGGATACTCCTCTCTCTGACCTGGTAATCTCGGCTGGGGAGCACACTAACCCCCCCCGTGATTCTGGAGGAAACAGTCAGAGACCTACTGCTCCAACTGGACTGCCACAAGTCGATGGGGCCAGATGAGATCCACCCAAGAGTGCTGAGGGAACTGGCGGAGGTGATATCCGGGCCGCTTTCCATCATCTGTCAACGCTCCTTGTTGACTGGTGAGGTCCCAGAAGACTGGAGGCTTGCCGATGTGACTCCCATTTATAAGAAAGGTCGTAAGGAGGATCCGGGGAACTACAGGCCTGTTAGCCTGACCTCGGTGCCAGGGAAGGTTATGGAGCAGATTGTCTTGAGGGAGATCATGCGGCATGTGCAGGGTGACCGGGGGATCAGGCCTAGCCAGCATGGGTTCATGAAGGGCAGGTCCTGTTTGACCAACCTGATCTCCTTCTATGATCTAGTGACCCATCTGGTGGATGAGGGAAAGGCTGTTGATGTGGTCTACCTAGACTTCAGCAAAGCCTTTGACACTGTCTCCCACAGCATTCTCCTGCAGAAGCTGGCAGCCAGAGGCTTGGATGGATACACTCTTGGCTGGGTGAGGAGCTGGTTGGAGGGCCGGCACAGAGAGTGGTGGTGAATGGAGTCAAATCCAGCTGGCGACCGGTCGTGAGTGGTGTTCCCCAGGGGTCGGTGCTGGGGCCTGTCCTCTTCAATATCTTTATTGATGACCTCGATGAGGGCATCAAGTGCACCCTCAGTAAATTCGCAGATGACACCAAATTGGCTGGAAGTGTGGATCTGCCTGGGGGTAGCGAGGCCCTACAGAGGGATCTGGACAGGCTGGAGAGTTGGGCTGAAGCCAATAGGATGAGTTTCAACAAGGCCAAATGCCGGGTCCTGCACTTCGGCCACAACAACCCAGGCGACGCTACAGGCTTGGGGCGGTGTGGCTGGAGGACTGCGTAGAGGAAATGGACCTGGGGGTATTGATTGATGCTCGGCTGAACATGAGCCGACAGTGTGCCCAGGTGGCCAAGAAGGCCAATGGCATCCTGGCTTGCATCAGAAACAGTGTTGCAAGCAGGAGCAGAGAGGTGATTGTTCCCTGTATTCAGCACTGGTGAGGCCGCACCTCGAGTACTGTGTCCAGTTTTGGCCCCTCACTGCAAGAAAGATATTGAGGCCCTGGAACGTGTTCAAAGGAGGGCAACAAAGCTGGTGAGGGGTCTGGAACACAGGCCATATGAGGAGAGGCTGAAGGAGCTGGGAATGTTCAGCCTGGAGAAGAGGAGGCTCAGGGGAGACCTCATTGCTCTCTATAACTTCCTGAAGGGAGGCTGTAGTGAGCTGGGGGTCGGCCTCTTCTCTCGTGTCATTAGTGATAGGACCAGGGGGAATGGCTTCAAGCTACGGCAGGGGAGATTCAGGCTGGACATTAGGAAGTATTACTTTTCAGAAAGGGTGGTCAGGCACTGGAACGGACTGCCCAGGGAGGTGTGGAGTCACCGACCCTGGGGGTGTTCAAGGAAAGACTGGATGTTGTATTGAGGGACATGGTTTAGTAGGAGCTATTGGGAATAGGTGAACGGTTGGACTGGATGATCTTTTAGGTCTTTTCCAACCTTGGTGATTCTATGATTCTATGATTCTATGATTTAAAGGGAAAAACAGGGATTTCTATGAAAATAAGCGATATTTAAGTGAAAAAACAGAGATTTCTATGAAAATAAGCTATATTTTAGGGGAAAAAACAGGGATTTCTGTGAAAATAAGCGATATTTAAGGTTAAAAACAGGGATTTCTGTGAAAATAAGTGATATTTTAGGGGAAAAACAGGGATTCCTGTGAAGATAAGCGACATTTTAGGGGAAAAACAGGGATTTCTGTGAAAATAAGTGATATTTTAAGGGAAAAACAGGGATTTCTGTGAAAATAAGCGATATTTTAGGGGAAAAACAGGGATTTCTGTGAAAATAAGCGATATTTTAGGTTAAAAACAGGAATTTCTGTGAATATAAGGGATATTTTAGGGGAGTAACAGGGATTTCTGAGAAAATAAGTGATATTTTAGGTTAAAAAACAGGGATTTCTGTGAAAATAAGCGATATTTTAGGGGAAAAACTGGATTTCTAAGAAAATAAGCGATATTTCAGGGGGAAAAACAGGGATTTCTGTGGAAATAAGCGACATTTTAGGGGAAAAAACAGGGATTCCTGTGAAGATAAGCGACATTTTAGGGGAAAAACAGGGATTTCTGTGAAAATAAGTGATATTTTAGGTTAAAAACAGGAATTTCTGTGAAAATAAGCGACATTTTAGGGAAAAACAGGGATTTCTATGAAAATAAGCGATATTTAAGTTAAAAAACAGGGATTTCTGTGAAAATAAGCGATATTTTAGGGAAAAACTGGGATTTCTATGAAAATAAGCGATATTTCAGGGGAAAAACAGGGATTTCTGTGGAAATAAGCGATATTTTAGGGGAAAAACAGGGGATTTCTATGAAATAAGCGATATTTTAGAGGAAAAACAGGGATTTCTAAGAAAATAAGCGATATTTTAGGTTAAAAACAGGGATTTCTGTGAAAATAAGCGATATTTTAGGGGAAAAACAGGGATTTCTATGAAAATAAGCGATATTTCAGGGGAAAAACTGGGATTTCTAAGAAAATGAGCGATATTTTAGGGGAAAAACTGGGATTTCTGAGAAAATAAGCAATATTTCAGGTTAAAAACAGGGATTTCTGAAAAAATAAGCGATATTTTAGGGGAAAAACAGGGATTTCTATGAAAATAAGCAATATTTTAGAGGAAAAACAGGGATTTCTGTGAATATAAGGGATATTTCAGTCGAATAATAGGCATTTCTGTGAAAATAAGTGATATTTTAGGTTAAAAACAGGGATTTCTGTGAAAATAAGCGATATTTTAAGGGAAAAACAGGGATTTCTGCGAAAATGAGCGATATTTAAGTTTAAAAACAGGGAATTCTGTGAAAATAAGCGATATTTTAGGGGAAAAACAGGGATTTCTGTGAAAATAAGCGATATTTTAGGTTAAAAACAGGGATTTCTGTGAAAATAAGTGATATTTTAGGGGAAAAACAGGGATTTCTGTGAAAATAAGCGATATTTTAGGGGAAAAACAGGGATTTCTGTGAAAATAAGCGATATTTTAGGGGAAAACAGGGATTTCTATGAAAATAAGCGATATTTTAGGGGAAAAACAGGGATTTCTGAGAAAATAAGTGATATTTCAGGGGAAAAAGAGGGATTTCTGTGAAAATAAGCGATATTTTAGGGGAAAAACAGGGATTTCTGTGAAAATAAGCGATATTTAAGGTTAAAAACAGGGATTTCTGTGAAAATAAGCGACATTTTAGGGGAAAAACAGGAATTTCTGTGAAAATAAGCGATATTTAAGTTATAAAACAGGGATTTCTGAGAAAATAAGCGATATTTTAGGTTAAAAACAGGGATTTCTATGAAAATAAGGGATATTTTAGGGGAAAAACAGGGATTCCTTTGAGAAGTGATATTTTAGGGGAAAAACAGGGATTTCTGTGAAAATAAGCGATATTTTAGGGGAAAAACAGGGATTTCTGTGAAAATAAGCGATATTTTTTGGGAAAAACAGGGATTTCTATGAAAGTAAGCGATATTTAAGTTTAAAAACAGGGATTTCTGTGAAAATAAGTGATATTTTAAGGGAAAAACAGGGATTTCTGTGAAAATAAGCGATATTTTAGGGGAAAACAGGGATTTCTGTGAAAATAAGCGATATTTCAGGGGAAAAACAGGGATTTCTATGAAAGTAAGCGATATTTAAGTTTAAAAACAGGGATTTCTGTGAAAATAAGCGATATTTAGGGGAAAAACAGAGATTTCTGTGAAAATAAGCGATATTTAATGTTAAAAACAGGGATTTCTATGAAAATAAGCGATATTTAAGGTTAAAAACAGGGATTTCTATGAAAATAAGCGATATTTAAGGGGAATAACAGGGATTTCTGTGAAAATAAGTGATATTTTAGGGGAAAAACAGGGATTTCTTTGAAAATAAGTGATACTTAAGGTTAAAAACAGGGATTTCTATGAAGATAAGCTATATTTTAGAGGAAAAACAGGGATTTCTGTGAAAATAAGCGATATTTAAAGGGAAAAACAGGGATTTCTATGAAAATAAGCGATATTTAAGTGAAAAAACAGAGATTTCTATGAAAATAAGCTATATTTTAGGGGAAAAACAGGGATTTCTGTGAAAATAAGCGATATTTAAGGTTAAAAACAGGGATTTCTTTGAAAATAAGTGATATTTTAGGGGAAAAACAGGGATTCCTGTGAAGATAAGCGATATTTTAGGGGAAAAACAGGGATTTCTGTGAAAATAAGTGATATTTTAGGGGAAAAACAGGGATTTCTGTGAAAATAAGCGATATTTTAGGTTAAAAACAGGAATTTCTGTGAATATAAGGGATATTTTAGGGGAGTAACAGGGATTTCTGAGAAAATAAGTGATATTTTAGGTTAAAAACAGGGATTTCTGTGAAAATAAGCGATATTTTAGGGGAAAAACTGGGATTTCTAAGAAAATAAGCGATATTTCAGGGGAAAAACAGGGATTTCTGTGGAAATAAGCGACATTTTAGGGGAAAAACAGGGATTTCTGTGAAGATAAGCGACATTTTAGGGGAAAAACAGGGATTTCTGTGAAAATAAGTGATATTTTAGGTTAAAAACAGGAATTTCTGTGAAAATAAGCGACATTTTAGGGAAAAACAGGGATTTCTATGAAAATAAGCGATATTTAAGTTAAAAAACAGAAATTTCTGTGAAAATAAGCGATATTTTAGGGGAAAAACAGGGATTTCTATGAAAATAAGCGATATTTTGGGGGAAAAACAGGGATTTCTATGAAAATAAGCGATATTTAATGGGAAAAACAGGGATTTCTGTGAAAATAAGCGATATTTTAGGGGAAAAACAGGGATTTCTGTGAAAATAAGCGATATTTTAGGGGAAAAACAGGGATTTCTGTGAAAATAAGCGATATTTTAGGTTAAAAACAGGAATTTCTGTGAATATAAGGGATATTTTAGGGGAGTAACAGGGATTTCTGAGAAAATAAGTGATATTTTAGGTTAAAAACAGGGATTTCTGTGAAAATAAGCGATATTTTAGGGGAAAAACTGGGATTTCTAAGAAAATAAGCGATATTTCAGGGGAAAAACAGGGATTTCTGTGGAAATAAGCGACATTTTAGGGGAAAAACAGGGATTTCTGTGAAGATAAGCGACATTTTAGGGGAAAAACAGGGATTTCTGTGAAAATAAGTGATATTTTAGGTTAAAAACAGGAATTTCTGTAAAAATTAGCGACATTTTAGGGAAAAACAGGGATTTCTATGAAAATAAGCGATATTTAAGTTAAAAAATAGGGATTTCTGTGAAAATAAGCGATATTTTAGGGGAAAAACTGGGATTTCTATGAAAATAAGCGATATTTAAGTTAAAAAACAGGGATTTCTGTGAAAATAAGCGATATTTTAGGGGAAAAACAGGGATTTCTATGAAAATAAGCGATATTTTAGAGGAAAAACAGGGATTTCTAAGAAAATAAGTGATATTTTAGGTTAAAAACAGGGATTTCTGTGAAAATAAGCGATATTTTAGGGGAAAAACAGGGATTTCTGTGAAAATAAGCGATATTTTAGGGGAAAAACAGGGATTTCTGTGAAAATAAGCGATATTTTTTGGGAAAAACAGGGATTTCTATGAAAGTAAGCGATATTTAAGTTTAAAAACAGGGATTTCTGTGAAAATAAGCGATATTTTAGGGGAAAAACAGGGATTTCTGTGAAAATAAGCGATATTTTAGGGGAAAACAGGGATTTCTGTGAAAATAAGCGATATTTTAGGGGAAAAACTGGGATTTCTATGAAAGTAAGCGATATTTAAGTTTAAAAACAGGGAATTCCATGAAAATAAGCGATATTTTAGGGGAAAAACAGGGATTTCTGTGAAAATAAGCGATATTTTAGGGGGAAAAACAGGGATTTCTATGAAAATAAGCGATATTTTAGGGGAAAAACTGGGATTTCTAAGAAAATGAGCGATATTTTAGGGGAAAAACAGGGATTTCTGTGAAAATAAGCGATATTTTAGGGGAAAAACAGGAATTTCTGTGAAAATAAGCGATATTTTAGGGGAAAAACAGGTATTCCTTTGAAAAGTGATATTTTAGGGGAAAAACAGGGATTTCTGTGAAAATAAGCGATATTTTAGGGGAAAAACAGGGATTTCTGTGAAAATAAGCGACATTTTAGGGGAAAACAGGGATTTCTGTGAAAATAAGCGATATTTTAGGGGAAAAACAGGGATTTCTATGAAAGTAAGCGATATTTAAGTTTAGAAACAGGGATTTCTGTGAAAATAAGCGATATTTAGGGGAAAAACAGAGATTTCTATGAAAATAAGCGATATTTAAGGTTAAAAACAGGGATTTCTATGAAAATAAGCGATATTTAAGGTTAAAAACAGGGATTTCTATGAAAATAAGCGATATTTAAGGGGAAAAACAGGGATTTCTGTGAAAATAAGTGATATTTTAGGGGAAAAACAGGGATTTCTTTGAAAATAAGTGATACTTAAGGTTAAAAACAGGGATTTCTATGAAGATAAGCTATATTTTAGAGGAAAAAAAGGGATTTCTGTGAAAATAAGCGATATTTAAAGGGGGAAAACAGGGATTTCTATGAAAATAAGCGATATTTAAGTGAAAAAACAGGGATTTCTATGAAAATAAGCTATATTTTAGGGGAAAAACAGGGATTTCTGTGAAAATAAGCGATATTTAAGGTTAAAAACAGGGATTTCATTGAAAATAAGCGATATTTTAGGGGAAAAACAGGGATTCCTGTGAAGATAAGCGACATTTTAGGGGAAAAACAGGAATTTCTGTGAAAATAAGTGATATTTAAGGGGAAAAACAGGTATTTCTATGAAGATAAGCAATATTTTAGAAGAAAAACAGGGATTTCTGTGAAAATAAGCGATATTTTAGGGGAAAAACTGGGATTTCTGTGAAAATAAGCGATATTTTAGGGGAAAAACAGGGATTTCTGTGAAAATAAGCGATATTTCAGGGGAAAAACAGGGATTTCTGTGAAAATAAGCGATATTTAAGGTTAAAAAAAGGGATTTCTGTGAAAATAAGCGATATTTAATGGGAAAAACAGGGATTTCTGTGAAAATAAGCGACATTTTATAGGGAAAAACAGGGATTTCTATGAAAATAAGCGATATTTTAAGGGAAAAACAGGGATTTCTGTGAAAATAAGCGATATTTTAGGGGAAAAACAGGGATTTCTGTGAAAATAAGCGATATTTTACAGGAAAAACAGGGATTTCTGTGAATATAAGGGATATTTTAGGGGAATAACAGGGATTTCTGAGAAAATAAGTGATATTTTAGGTTAAAAACAGGGATTTCTGTGAAAATAAGCGATATTTTAGGGGAAAAACAGGGATTTCTGTGAAAATAAGCGATATTTAAGGTTAAAAACAGGGATTTCTGTGAAAATAAGTGATATTTTAGGGGAAAAACAGGGATTCCTGTGAAGATAAGCGACATTTTAGGGGAAAAACAGGGATTTCTGTGAAAATAAGTGATATTTAAGGGGAAAAACAGGTATTTCTATGAAGATAAGCAATATTTTAGAAGAAAAACAGGGATTTCTGTGAAAATAAGCGATATTTTAGGGGAAAAACAGGGATTTCTGTGAAAATAAGCGATATTTTAGGGGAAAAACAGGGATTTCTGCGAAAATGAGCAATATTTAAGTTTAAAAACAGGGAATTCTGTGAAAATAAGCGATATTTTAGGGGAAAAACAGGGATTTCTGTGAAAATAAGCGATATTTTAGGTTAAAAACAGGGATTTCTGTGAAAATAAGTGATATTTTAGGGGAAAAACAGGGATTTCTGTGAAAATAAGCGATATTTTAAGGGAAAAACAGGGATTTCTGTGAAAATAAGCGATATTTTAGTGGAATAACAGGGATTTCAGAGAAAATAAGTGATATTTTAGGTTAAAAACAGGGATTTCTGTGAAAATAAGCGATATTTCAGGGGAAAAACAGGGATTTCTGTGAAAATAAGCGATATTTTAGGAGAAAAACAGGGATTTCTGTGAATATAAGGGATATTTCAGGGGAATAACAGGGATTTCTGTGAAAATAAGTGATATTTAAGGTTAAAAACAGGGATTTCATTGAAAATGAGCGATATTTTAGAGGAAAAACAGGGATTTCTGTGAAAATAAGCGATATTTAAGGGGAAAAACAGGGATTTCTGTGAAAATAAGCGACATTTTAGGGGAAAAACAGGCATTTCTATGAAAATAAGCGATATTTTAAGGGAAAAACAGGGATTTCTATGAAAATAAGCGATATTTAAGGGGAAAAACTGGGATTTCTATGAAAATAAGCTATATTTTAGAGGAAAAACAGGGATTTCTGTGAAAATAAGTGATATTTTAGAGGAAAAACAGGGATTTCTGTGAAAATAAGCGATATTTTAGGGGAAAAACAGGGATTTCTGTGAAAATAAGCGATATTTTGGGGGAAAAACAGGGATTTCTGTGAAAATAAGCGATATTTAAGGTTAAAAACTGGGATTTCTGTGAAAATAAGCGATATTTAAGTTTAAAAACAGGGATTTCTGTGAAAATAAGCGATATTTTAGGGGAAAAACAGGGATTTCTATGAAAATAAGCGATATTTTAGGGGAAAAACAGGGATTTCTGTGTAAATGAGCGATATTTTAAGGGATAAACAGGGATTTCTATGAAAATAAGCGATATTTAATGGGAAAAACAGGGATTTCTGTGAAAATAAGCGATATTTTAGGGGAAAAACAGGGATTTCTGTGAAAATAAGCGATATTTTAGGGGAAAAACAGGGATTTCTGTGAAAATAAGCGATATTTTTTGGGAAAAACAGGGATTTCTATGAAAGTAAGCGATATTTAAGTTTAAAAACAGGGATTTCTGTGAAAATAAGCGATATTTTAGGTTAAAAACAGGGATTTCTGTGAAAATAAGCGATATTTTAGGGGAAAAACAGGGATTTCTGTGAAAATAAGCGATATTTAAGGTTAAAAACAGGGATTTCTGTGAAAATAAGCGATATTTCAGGGGAAAAACAGGGATTTCTGTTAAAATAAGCTATATTTTAGAGGAAAAACAGGGATTTCTATGAAAATGAGCGATATTTTAAGGGAAAAACAGGGATTTCTGCGAAAATGAGCGATATTTAAGTTTAAAAACAGGGATTTCTGTGAAAATAAGCGATATTTTAGGGGAAAAACAGGGATTTCTTTGAAAATAAGCGATATTTTAGGTTAAAAACAGGGATTTCTGTGAAAATAAGTGATATTTTAGGTTAAAAACAGGAATTTCTATGAAAATAAGCGACATTTTAGGGGAAAAACAGGGATTTCAGTGAAAATAAGCGATATTATAGGTTATAAAACAGGGATTTCTGTGAAAATGAGCGATATTTTAGGGGAAAAACAGGGATTTCTGCGAAAATAAGCAATATTTTAGGTTAAAAACAGGAATTTCTGTGAAAATAAGCGACATTTTAGGGGAAAACAGGGATTTCTATGAAAATAAGCGATATTTAAGTGAAAAAACAGGGATTTCTGAGAAAATAAGTGATATTTCTGGGGAAAAACAGGGATTTCTGTGAAAATAAGCGATATTTAAGGGGAAAAACAGGGATTTCTGTGAAAATGAGCGATATTTTAGGGGAAAAACAGGGATTTCTGTGAAAATAAGCGATATTTTAGGGGAAAAACAGGGATTTCTATGAAAATAAGCGATATTTTAGGGGAAAAACTGGGATTTCTAAGAAAATGAGCGATATTTTAGGGGAAAAACAGGGATTTCTGCGAAAATAAGCGATATTTAATGGGAAAAACAGGGATTTCTGTGTAAATAAGCGACATTTTAGGGGAAAAACAGGGATTTCTGTGAAAATAAGCGATATTTTAGGTTAAAAAACAGGGATTTCTGAGAAAATAAGCGATATTTCAGGGGAAAAACAGGGATTTCTGTGAAAATAAGCAATATTTAAGGGGAAAACAGGGATTTCTGAGAAAATAAGCGATATTTTTTGGGAAAAACAGGGATTTCTATGAAAGTAAGCGATATTTAAGTTTAAAAACAGGGATTTCTGTGAAAATAAGCGATATTTAAGGTTAAAAACAGGGATTTCTATGAAAATAAGTGATATTTAAGGGGAAAAACAGGGATTTCTGTGAAAGTAAGCGATATTTAAGTTTAAAAACAGGGATTTCTGTGAAAATAAGCGATATTTAGGGGAAAAACAGGGATTTCTATGAAAATAAGTGATACTTAAGGTTAAAAACAGGGATTTCTATGAAGATAAGCTGTATTTTAGAGGAAAAACAGGGATTTCTGTGAAAATAAGCGATATTTAAAGGGAAAAACAGAGATTTCTGTGAAAATAAGCGATATTTTAGGGGAAAAACAGGGATTTCTTTGAAAATAAGCGATATTTAAGTTTAAAAACAGGGATTTCTGTGAAAATAAGCGATATTTCAGGGGAAAAACAGGGATTCCTGTGAAAATAAGCGACATTATAGGGGAAAAACAGGGATTTCTGTGAAAATAAGTGATATTTAAGGGGAAAAACAGGGATTTCTTTGAAAATAAGCGATATTTTAGGGGAAAAACAGGGATTTCTGAGAAAATAAGCGATATTTTGGGGGAAAAACAGGGATTTCTATGAAGATATGCAATATTTTAGAGGAAAAACAGGGATTTCTGTGAAAATAAGCGATATTTTAGGGGAAAAACAGGAATTTCTGTGAAAATAAGCGATATTTCAGGGGAAAAACAGGGATTTCTGTGAAAACAAGCGATATTTAAGGTTAAAAACAGGGATTTCTGTGAAAATAAGCGATATTTAATGGGAAAAACAGGGATTTCTGTGAAAATAAGCGACATTTTATAGGGAAAAACAGGGATTTCATTGAAAATAAGCGATATTTTAGGGGAAAAACAGGGATTTCTTTGAAAATAAGTGATACTTAAGGTTAAAAACAGGGATTTCTATGAAGATAAGCTATATTTTAGAGGAAAAACAGGGATTTCTGTGAAAATAAGCGATATTTAAAGGGAAAAACAGGGATTTCTATGAAAATAAGCGATATTTAAGTGAAAAAACAGGGATTTCTATGAAAATAAGCGATATTTTAGGGGAAAAACAGGGATTTCTGTGAAAATAAGTGATATTTTAGGGGAAAAACAGGGATTTCTGTGAAAATAAGCGATATTTTAGGGGAAAAACAGGGATTCCTGTGAAAATAAGCGACATTTTAGGGGAAAAACAGGGATTTCTTTGAAAATAAGCGATATTTTAGGGGAAAAACAGGGATTTCTGAGAAAATAAGCGATATTTTGGGGGAAAAACAGGGATTTCTATGAAGATAAGCAATATT